GCTTGGGAACGTTTTTTTTTTTTTTACTGCCCCAGTTGAAATCCGATTAGATTTGAATCTTTTCCACCTAATATTAAAGGGCTCCCCCTAATGTATGATGAATAATGTACTAGGAACCGTATCTAGTATTAAGGGTTGTATTTATCGTAGGGGGGTGGGTGGGTGGGGGATACAATGGGGTCCTACTGAAACCTGATTAAAATCGTTAAAAAAAAAACCATAAATCGAATAAACACCCCATTCAATTCGAAGTAAATAAATCTAGTGCAAATTCAAATACAACCAATTTAAAGTTAATTAAGTAATGTGATTAGACCCATCAAAATATTCAAAACCTATTTATTTTTGTTAGCATTTCATTATTGACTAAAGGCAATTGAAATTTACGCAAAATCCAGGTACACACTAAATAAAGACGATGTGAAATTGCAATAAACCCAATCAGAATCGCAGCCAGATTCTACGTAATGTCCTTTTAAGTAGAAGCCATTGTTGCATCCAATTCTAGCAAATCGAGGAGGTCCCTCATCGTGAAGAGTCGTGCTAGGGAGCCCCCGCAAATTCAGAGGATCCGAGCTGTAGTTAACTTTAGTCTGGGCCCTTTTAATAGTTAGTCTTGGGGGCAGATTTCAGAAATGAGAATTCCCGAAAATTCGTAGTTGATATTAGGGGCGGGTTTACTTTTCGGGGGGCAGACTAGAACTTACTGAAATGAAGTTTAACGAAGACAAATTTGAAACCTACCTAATTTCAATCGAAATCTAGGTAAAATCAGTTAGCATCAATTTGGAATCGGTTGAGGACCTCATTAGCATCAATTAAGATCGAATTCTGGTGCTAAAGCTCTGGATCAGATTAAAGTCCTTGAAGCCTGAGGCTCGGGGCCTTTTGGTTTTATTTAGAACCATCCAAGTGAAAATGTGGGCGGCTGGAGAATCTGTCAGTATTACGGACCGGACCCAAGTGGATCCAGGCCTGTGCTGGACTACCCCCAACATAAATTGATGGATCGTATGTTTTTTTAGTGTAATCTCAGAAAAAAAGTTTATATGGAGCTGGGGTCCATGAGCCCTTAGTATACGTGCCCCTACGACGGGAACCACAACCTTGAGAACCCTGCATATTGTGTCTGGTCTTATGCCCCTTCTTGTCTAGTGCATCTGAAATGAGATCTTCATGATGTTTGGCCCACTGTAGCGGCCTCAATCATTTTCGGGTACGTTGCGACAACTTCATACAGGCCATGGGGAAACAACATTGATTATTGCTCAGGCTTGTACAGTACCTGCTATGGAGTCATGGAGCAGGCAAGTAGTTTGAGCGCATTTACTCAGATGAATCGGAGATGGAAAACTTTCGAATTCCCTCATTTCTGGCCTGATAGGTAATGCCTGAGGCTCAAAGCCTTTGGTTTGAAAGCTTTCCTGGTCTAAGTGAAGAAGTAGTCTCAGAGAGCACTCGCAAGCTGTTTCCGTTGTGCTTTTCTTCCCTAAAGCAAACGCAAGTTAGGTAAGGAATATTGCCAATGTCACTTCAGATTATTAAAGGGGGTCGGATTAGAGCTAAATCGGGCCTGAACGGAATAATATAGATGGGTACGGATAGCTAAATCTGGTCTGATTTATAACAATACAGGAACGGAATAATTCCATGCTCGCTTCTGGAAACGCCCAAACAGAGAAAACAAACAACAGATAGAGAGAAGAAAGCCAGAGAAGCCAGCCAGTCTAAGCAACCGAACCCCCTAATCAAGTATCTGCAAAAGAGGAATAAGATTTAGATTGCAGATAATTATTCCAAGCCTAGGGCCTATGGATTTCAAGCCTAATTAATTAAGATTTTTTGCCAGAAACCAATTCCGTTCCGATTCTCAGGTTTTGAGCACACCAGAAACTATCGATTTCTTATAAGACTGCTTGTTCGAACAGCCTCAGGCAATCATTTCTGCTAAGCGGTACTATACCGAGACCGCCGGAACGGAATAATGGCAATTAAAAAAGGTACGGAATAATCAGGGCCCTGGCAGGCATGGACCCCATAACCTGCAAAAGAAGAACAAGCTTTAAGTTTTCAAATATATCCCAAGCCTGTGGCCTGGAGATCTGAAACCCAATTAAAGTCTTTTTCCGCCGGAAATAAATTCCATTCCGATTCTCAGATTTCGAGCGCGCCAGAAAACCATCAATTTCTGATAACACCCCTTATTCGAACAGCCCAGGCAATCAAGGGTTCCCAATCAGGGTTTAGGGCTGGGACGCCCCCAAGCAAATACTCCGACAATCGATCGGGGACCCCCTGGACTGTCTGCAAACGTACTTGTTTGGGGGGGGTATAATCAGAACCCCCCATTATCTTTGATATTGGGCCCCAAAAACATTTCACTATTCCGAGCCCCTCAAAAATACCAGATCCTGAATGAATTCCCCAGAAGGCTTCATTAAACCGGGTCCCTGGTGTCAACGGGGTTCAAGATTTAGAGCCAAGGCCTCAGCTTGAACAGAAGCCACTTTGAGATTCACACGAGATGTCAGTTGTGACCCGTCAACGTATGGCTGTTTCCCTTGGCTCGTCTCTGTAAAGAACGAGTATTGCTATATCGCCTTGAGCAGGGAATAAGAGGCTCCGCTCACACGGGATGGAAAGGCAGTTTGTTTAATTCGTTTGGGCTTCTGTGGCCTTCTGCAAAGGTGCTCACCTACAGAGTGGTTCAGCGGTCACCGCGGCTCGCTGCGTGGCCCTGAGACGAGCTTTGCCCTTGTACTAGTAGCATCTAGTAGTGGGCATATATGGCTTGCGGGCTCCATTTGTTTGTTTGTTGATTTGGTGCCTGGTGCAGGAAGGCTGCTGTCACAAAAATTTCACACAAATCCTGGAGCCCGCCAAAAAACTGCGCAACACGAGGAAGCAGCTGAGAAGGCTTAGAAGGCCCCGCTCAAGCTGCACAGGATGTGCGCTGGGGGCTGTAAGTTAAATCCCAGCCCAGCACTGGTACTCAAGCACGGACCTCCTGTCCAAAGCCCCGCGGCTGAAGTTTCAAGGCCTAGGCCTGATGCATGTGCGACTATCTGGCTGTCCTGCCCTTTCTGCGGATCCTCCAAGCAGATGCGTGACAGGCGTTAGAGCGTTAGACGCATCTTGACACCAAGGTTTGCAGACCGTGGTGGCAACACTGGAAGAGTGTCGACCTCAGTTGCGACAGAGGGCTTGCCAAGGTATGAACGCCTCGCGGCCTCGTGATACAGCTACTGACTATTTAGCAGTTTTGCGTTGGCTTGCAAGCAGGTGGATGTGCTCTTGAACAGGTGCTTTGCCCAGACAGGGGCTGAAGCCAGAAGCCAGAAGCATTGTGGCCAGGAGTCAAGTGCACTTCAGAATTTGTTTTTTTCTGAAAGTCATAGCAGGGCCAGCAGCAGGCAGTCCATCAAAGGGCGTAATGGCACCATGAGCTTGCTCAACTGTTCGAAATCTGTGTGTCCCATAGCACGCAAAAGACGCAGTTGCTCGATTACCAGGTTAGGTGACGAAGCAGATGAGCTGATGCTGGTTCTTCAGCCGCAGTTCAGTGTCGAGAGGCATGAATTTGCTAGCAGAAACGTTTTCCCGAATGCTCTGCTTCCCTGGCATTGAAGCCTTGCATGTGCTTCACTTCACTGATGCATGCACCAGCAAGTTTCTGGCTTCAAAACCTGAAGTACAGCATGGACTACACGACATGCTTTGCCAAGTTCTTGGAGACACGTTCTGAGCATAGAGTGCTGGACGAACCAGAGTCCACAGCGCACTGTGCGGCGTGTCCTGTCATCTTGTGCGGTGCAACTGCAACCGTTAGAAGTATGTCTTGGCGACTTTACACGCCTGCGAATCAACTGCCCCAAAGGTTCGTCTTGAGGCTACTTCTGCTGCTTGTATGTAAGTAATGGGGTTTTGCAGTCGGATGATCCCGGAATCCGTCTTGCAAGTGGCCATTGGACTTCTGTTTCTCCCGCTTGCGTAACTTCCAGGCGGGAGCGGAAACTGGTCATTGGAAGTTCCTGGAATGACACATGCGCAGAAAGCGTCTCGCCATACTATTGACGATGTGATCAAATAGAGCTCCCAGTGCTGGAACGCTGGCAGTCGGACACTTGCAGGCTTCGGCGTATCAAAGCCTTGCTGGCTCCTATCGGGTCGGGTTCCCAGCAGAATTTGCTGTCCGACATGCTCTGTCAGCAACCAGCCTTAAAGCAGCTTGCAGCGCTGTCAAAGTCCATACATGTAGTGCCCCGCCATGCCCCGGCCCTTGCTGCAGTTTGTTTGCCACAAGGGTGCCAGACTTGAGCCGTCAAGCGTCGGAATTCGGGTCTGAACAACTTCTTGGGCATTGCAGCAGTCAGAGCTGTGTTGGTGGGCCGTCTGCAGGTCAAAACTTCTTAGCACGCAGTCCAACAGGGAAACCTCGTATTGGGGCAATCCACAAGCGAAAGATGTCTTTTAGGCAGTCTGCCTGCGCAGCCCAAACGTCAGAACTCCAAACTCCCGTTTGGATGTCCAACAAATATAGAAGGGGGGAGGCCAATATAAAGGTCGAAACTTTTCTTAGCCGACCTGCAGTTGGGTAGCCTGGAGATCAGGACCTTCGTTTCAGGGAGTCTAAACGTGACAGTCTTGTTGAGCCGCGCCGAAAACAAACTCTTTCAAACTGGGCAATCCTTCCTTGACAGCTGCTGCATAAAATGTGAACACCTGGCTTTCATAACTTTCGTAGCTTCTTCCGAAGCCCTAGCTCTTATCATCTTTCTGCTAAGGGTGCAACCTTTCTTTTTTGAGTTTCCAAAGTTGTGACTTTTACATAGCTTTGAGGTAATCTTAGGGACTGTCATAATTGTGGCCTCTGAAGAGGCAAAATTAGAACCTAAGGTTATCAAAGTCACAGGCCCAGGGTTATAGCTTTCATAAGGAGGGTCAATCAGTAGGCTCTGCGCAGATTTGCAGCGTCAGGATGCATCAATCCTACAGCCGTGAAACTAATCTGAATCGTTCAGGATCTTTACTTAGATTCGTTAGACGCTCAACTTGGTGACAGGCAGCTGGCCAGCACGGCCAAGCCATGCCCGATACCAAGTCTCAGAGGACAGCATGCTTGTTCAGACGTGAGAAAAGGGGCCGAATCGAAAGAATGCAGCTGATAAGGCAGTGCTATCAACTTTGCCTTGAACTTCGTGATGCCAAGCTTGGTCCGACCCCAAGCAAATTCATACGGGCCAATGCAGCGTACACTGCGAATGTGGCCAGTCATGAGCCTGTCCTGCGGTTTGGGATTTGAGCGGCCTGGCCTCTCGATGTTGCATTTGGATCTCTTTGGCTTGCCTTGCTTTAAATTTGTTAGTCTTTCCAGTTTCCCAGGTGGTTAGTCTTCGGAAAATTCCAGCAATACCAGAACACGTCCGTTTCTAATCACAGCCATTTGCCAGAGTGCCCATGTCCAAAGCATGATGCTTCACGGCCATCCCTTCAAGTGCACGGTCATCGCGCATCCATGCTGGCACATCCTGCACCATAGCCACGCCTATCCTCGGGAGGACCCACTTGGAAGCACGCGCTGCGTGCTGCTCACTATAATCATTATATATCATTATGTAAAGGCCTACACTTGAAACATTGAGACAGTCGCGTCTTCACGGGCTCGGCTGACTTGCACGTACGTTTGAGCATATTGTCAACACCTTGCGCTCATCCACGCAAGCTCTCTCCATGCTAGGCGGACGTCGTCCCAACACCGCCTGCTGCAGGGCTGTGGGTTTTTTTTGTGGACACCCTGAGAGGGCCAACAAAAGCAACAAGTGGCACAGGAATTACCCCAAGACTGTTCCACCGTTCATGCCTGGCAGGGTCCAAATCTGTCGTCCAACATGTGCTGATGGATATTGATGGATTCACAAAGCGTGAGAGTGGGCCTTGAAAGCTGCCAGATACACCGAGCAACGAAAGCATCATTCCCGACTGGCAAGCCTACCCCCAGGCTCGGAGCACCCTCAGCTGATCTCCGTGCTCAACAACCTTGGAGCTGAGGCAAGCGCAGACTTGTTCATCAAGGAACTAAAGTGTGGCTGCACCGATCAAGTTCTTAATGGGCACAGGGAGGTCAGACTTTGCTTGGACACGTGCATGGAGGTGTAAGAGCTTTGTTTCTGAACCAGTGCGCGCGCAAGAGAAGTAGACTTCGCTAACGAAAGATGGAGGGGACAGGCGATTAGACAGATGAAGAGGCCTTGGACAAATAGATATGCCTCATAAATCGTCCTTGAAAAATGAGATTGAGCTCTTGTGAGCTTAGCCAAAACAAAAGCCTGGAATTCGATCAAGGCATGTCTTCAAGTGCTATAGACAGAAGCAAAGCCAAAAAGAAAGAAAGGAAGGATGAAAGTACTGTAGAAAGGAATAAAAGAAAGAGGAAGGTAGGAAGGACACGAAGGAAGAAGGAAACGTGAAAAGAATGTAAACAGCAAGGAAGGGCGCAAGAAAGAAGGAAGATGGATGGCGCATTTTGTGTTTTTAAGGCTTTTTTAAGGGGGCCTCCAGAGTCATTGGAGCTTTAGATCCCTTCCCATCGCTTTGCAAGAGCAAGGGGGGCCCTCTGGCTCTGGCGCCATCTGGTGCCTATGGGCACATCGCTCGCCGTGGAATGCCTTGCCAGGCTCAACAGCTGCTGCAGCACAAAGAGGCTTGTGCGGGGCTGCGCGCAGGAACTGCCACTGACATTTGTTTTCCCCCTTTCTTGACTGCCTGTCTATCCTGGAAAGTTAGCTAGGCCAAAATTCTTACTGGGCAGAAGTCGATACAAACAAACGGAAAGATGGCAACTTACACTTATGCCACAATCATGGAGCAAGTATGTGCTGGCTTGATGCCATGGGCTGAGCCGAGTGGTGGTTCTGACTTTCTGGAAGCTCTCTGAGTAGTCCTAGAGACGGCACGTTTGGAGGCGGCGTCAGTGTGCAATCGTCCTGTTTGCCTGTTCGCTGCGAGACAAAGCGGTGCCCGCATAGATGCGCATGCCGACAGACAATCATGGCATCTAGAGCTTTAGCCATGAAGTGTCCAAATCTGCAGGCTGCAGACTTCTACCAGCGTGCACTTGCCCTGGAGCGGAAGAGTTTCGGAGCAGAGTCCATGCCTCAGAGGCGCTGCAAGTCTCAAGTTCTTCACGACCGCATGAACGCTTGGCTACCTTGTGGGATGGTCCTTGCCCACTGCTGGCTTCACAGGATCAATTAACGTTTCTGGAAGTTTTGCGGGCTGGACCGCATGCTGAAGCAGCAACCTCCGTCTTTCGCTGTGGCTCGAGCTTGTGCGCCAACTCATGTTCACATCTGGACGCGTAGCCACTTCCGCGAGAAGCTTGCAAAGCTGATCTGAGTAGCCCACTTGACTTAGACTTGGGAGGACTTGGCTATCAGCGGCTATCAAATATTTAGACACAAATAGACTTGTTTTCGTGCTCAGGCACTTGGCCACGGCGACTACGCTGGCTAACCTGGGCACAGCTTATGCCCAGCCAGAGCCTTGCACTTTGACCCGCTCAGAAGCAGGCTGTGCTTTTGCAGGCTGCCTGGAAAGTTCATATCGGGCAGCCATGTTTTGCCTTGTTTCGGCTGCACATGCATGGCCAGAAATTAGAAGGCTGGCGGCTCTTTAAATAGGTCGGCCATCAAAAGCCTCTAGTAGTTCTCCCGGGAGTTGACGGCTGGAGCCATGCTCCCAATCATTGCAACTAGAAGCCTCTTTACATCGCTAAATGCCGGTCCGGCTGCGACAGGTTGCATGAGCATGAAGACGCCTTGAAGTGTTTGCGCGGAGCCTTCGAGGTCGGCCACTGAGACTAGTGAGGTAGGCTGTGGTTGAGCTTGCTGAAGCTTTGGGATGGAGTCTTGACGCTTTGGATTGAGGAATTGGGGCATTATGGATAGGACAGATCTAGAACCTAGACCTCGGGCCTGGTGAGTTCATTGAGTGATGTTGTGGGTGCACTGAACACGCAAAATCTAAGCTGCCCAGCAAAAGCCGCTTTGACACAGACCCTTGTTAGCCTCATATGCCGACGAATTCGATCGGCTTTGCAATGTTTTCTTTAGAAGTGTCACAGCCGCTGTCGTGAACTCAAGCTTCTTGGCATTGCCTATGCGCACAACGATGAACCAAGGATGTCTTTCGGCTTCTCATTCTAGTGGCAGGGTCTGTTGGTCTAGCAAACCGGCTTTGGATACTTGCTTCTGCATAATGCTGGGGGCACCCAGCCCATCTGACAAACTTGGCAACAGCACTCCGTGCTCTGACACGGCGGATATCAGGCCTCCATTTTGGATGGAGGTCGCAAGACTGTAAGAAATGGAGAAGGGGATTACATTAAAAGCGCGGCAGCCTGAGTTTGAGAATGGCTCGCCACACTTCTGAGTAGAGAGTTGTGACATCGAATTGCTGTGAACTTCCTCAAGTACAACGCCGTAGATTGCGATCGATCAGCGCCGACAGTATGGGCAACGCGTCTAAACATTATTAAACACTGT